GCCGTTTAGGACTCCCGTTTTCGTTCCCCGTCCCATCCACCAAGTCACTCCCGCCCTCTTGTTCCATCACCGCTTGAGTGCATGTCTCAATTCCCCCACTTGCCATCCGCCCCCGCCCGCTGCCTGCACTCCGAACTTTCGCCTCTTCACCGCTCTCAGCAGACGTTTCCGAAATCCCCTCTACTTCACTATCATCCCTCTCTCCCATACCCACCCCTCCGCTCCGCACCTCGCTTCGACAGAGAGACAGTCGCATGCCCCCAGACCCCTCGCTACCCCCGCTCACCGCTTCCCCTCCACTCCTACCCTTCTCCCCATCTGATCCGCTGTCCTCGTCTCCATCTGCAGAATACCCCACAAGAGAAACCCCGCGCTTTCGCTTTTTCCCCCCCGATCCTCGTTTTTCCTCCTTGCTCTCCGTCCTTCTTTCCACATTCTTCACACTGCCCTCCTCACCATCATCTCCATCTTCCCCAACACCCACCTCAATCACACTTCCACTTTTCCCTAACCCCTCGTCTTCTTTCTTTGCCTCTTCTTTCTTCGCTTTTTCTTTCTTCGCATCCTCGTCTTCTCCCACTTCCGTCACTCCTGCTCCACCTGATTTCTCCCCATCTCTCATCACCACATCCAAACTATCTTCATGCTTCACGTCCTCACCCAAACCACGCGTGCTGCCCTTACTCTTCTCCTCATCTTTTGCTGACCTTCCCTTGTCTTGCTCAATCTTCATTTCCTCCTCGTGTGCATGAGTCAGTACCTCCAGAGTCTTCTTGGCCTCGGAAAATGCGCTGCAGTATTCGCTCGTTTCCTCCAAAACATCGCAGTACATTTCTACAATGTGCTTCAGTAGGTTCACCCGACTCTGTCGATACGTAAACGAAACAACATCCAATATCGCAGAGCTCGTCAAGTTGTCCTTTTTCCCGTTTTTCTTTAACATCTCCATCACAGGATCAAACAACTTTTCTCGCACAATGTACCGGTCAAGCATGTCCTCTGCCATCCCCACGCACGCACGAATAAAACGCAACGCAGATAGTCGAATGTACGCTTTCCGGTGTTCCAACAACTTCAGAATCCTTCCGCCTGCATCCCACGCCAGCACAAAGTACCACCCGCGATACGCGTGGTTAGTTACGCAAAAAGATAAAAGGTCGCAGATATGACTTGCATTTTCGTCCGGCCCGCATGCCACACCCCGCTCTTTTCGATCTTTTTCCGTCTCCACGCATTCGGCGATCGGATTAAGAAGCCGTGAAATAAACTTTTCGTAGAACACGTCCAGAAACACCTCCGTATCAGATTGCGTTCGCATATTTCCCGGATCAAGCAGCCGCCGTAGTAAATCGAGCACGGCCAGTGAAACGTCACAATGCTTATTCTGACATATCACGTCCACCATTGTCGGTAGTAGAGGAAACTTATCATCGCCTAGTGATTTTGAACGACGGTGTGGAGCACTATTGCCTTCTCCACCATTGCTCGCCGGCTCGCCATCAGTTCCTCCCGCTGCAGCCGCTTGTCCAGATGCCTTCGCCATTTTTCTGTCTGTGCCATCTTCTTTTTCGGGTGCAGATGACTCATTTGTCGTCGTCAAATTCGTCGTCGTCAGTGGTGGATGGTCGACATGTGCTTTCGTCTCTACAACTCCAGTTTCCGATCCATGAGCCGCACCATATTTGGTTAGGGACGCGCTCTGTGCGCCTGCACTTTCACAGTCATCGCCATCCTTCAAGCTAAATTCCTGTCTCCCGGCCGCATCGCTAGTTTCCAGACCCCTCGGTGGCGTGACGCCCGCTTTATCGGCGATGGAATCCGACGTTGCCTTGTCAGCTTCGGCATCACAAGCTTTCTCGCTGCCTTTCGCAGTCAACGGCGAATTATCGTGTGGAGATGTCCCCGCAATCCCGCCATCTTCGCTGTGAGTCGAAATAGAATGTGTCTGTGGGTCCTTTGACTGCCCAACTGGAGCACTGCGCAGCGGCATCCAAATATGTTTCACTTCAGGCTTTTCCGGGACGATAACATTCTTGATAATTTGACAACGAACCTCCGTTTGGTCATGGATGACCGCCGCGGACAAAATGTCGCAACACAGTGACCGAATCGTCACTTCTTTGTCGAGTAGCAAACTTACGACGATCTCCAGCACCCCCAAATCCATTAGCATAGAATGGAAACGGGTTTTCAGAGGAGACTGTTGATTCTTCGCCACGCCGCACAGTTCTCGTAACAATCCGAGCATGCTACGCAGTTCGTCGTGATCATCGCCATCACTGGCTGAGGATCTCGGCCCACCGGTGGCAGAATCGGTCTGCGCACTGCGGTAGCTTCCTCCGGTCCGCGAAGACTGACCTTTGGAAGTAGATGGGTCTAGAACCACGGTCGTTCTTGACTCGCCCGTGCTGTCAGTCAAGCCACTTTTTGAGGAATTCACCGCTACTGCTTTAGACACTGGTTCGTCTCTGTCTGAGTTTTGCTCATTGGGCGGAACAACGGCTTGCTTCGCATCGTCAGTGTCTGCTTTGCCCGCGTCACTACCGCAAGTAGACTGCTTGTCTTCACGGAAGGAACGCTTCCCAAGAATCTTGGCCGACGTTTGCTTCTTCGACTCCAGCTCGGAAAATTGCTTTGAGTCAGAAGTGTCAGCCGCCTGACGACGGTCTACGGTACTTTTCAAGCGATTGGACAATTCTTGCAGAGCCGAACTACCCGAAATAAAGTACATGAGAATGTCCACATTGTTACACAGGATGACACCAGAAAGGGCGCTGCTGACATCTTCGTCAAATGTCCGAGAGAGAATTGCGTCTCTGATGTAAGCGACTCTGTAGTTTTGGTGGATTTTTGCCACTACACTCGGATCTGTGATCGGAACGACAGACTTGAAGGAGACCTTTCTTTCCAAAAAGTCTCGGTGCACCCTGACAACCAACCGCCGTTCGCCTCCATCGCTGGACAAATTTCCTGAAGAAGTCGTTTCTTCACTGACATTCTTCTGGACTGGATCGCCTTGCTTGACATCAACAGTATTGTCGGAGGTTGCAACTACTGCGGCTGCTGCGCCGTTTGCAGAGCCCTGGTCGTTCTCGCGCATTGCGTTTGCATCAGGTTCACCACTGGGAGATGAGTCAACTTTGGCCCCCATTGTTGCCCTCACATCAGACGCATGATCCCCAGGCTTGGGGTCGGTTGATTCTGACTGACACTGTCCAATGCCCTTTCCCTCTAATCCCGCGTTGGTGCTGAGAGGGCCTTCCTCAACCTTGCGCGCGGCTTTGTCGTCGGTAGCCTTCCCAGCAGAGGCCTCAGATGCATCGGCCTCCTCCGTAGAGATCGCAGAACTATTCTTTTCTGGACTTTCTTTCTTTACAGCGCCATCGTCCTTTCCCTTTCGCTCGTCGACACATCGCTTATTCTCAGATTTGGCTTTTTCTAGTTCTGCGACATGATCGGTATCATATTCGAGACAGCCAACAACATCCATGAGGTTTTTCTCGTCTACCAAAACCTCTAGAACATTTCCCGTTCCGATTGCAAAGAGATAGCGCATAATGTGATAGAGCATGGCAAGTCCTTCAATGTCAACGGATTTCTCACATTCGCGAAAAACACTGCACAATTTGGAAACGTAGTCGCCATTGGAAACCTCGGAGATGACTCTCCCGTGGGCGTACGGAGCATGGATCGCGCCGTGTTCGGACACAGCGCGATACAAATCTTCAATGCCGGCACGATCCGGGTCTGGCATGACAAACCCTGCAGCAGCTGCCGGATCTGAGGTGACCGAGGGCGGGACCAATGTGCTTGGTGAGCCAAGGAACAAGACGTTTGGGTTGTCCCGAAAGATGACATCTTCGATGGGGTCTGTCGCCCACGGGGATGAGGTTTCCATGCTGTCGTCGAAAAAGCGAGACGAGTGGGTCATGTCCTGTGCGGAGTCGACAAGTGATGCATGCGGATTGCGATGGTTACTGTTATTATCTCTACTTGAAGATGAAATCAATGGGTTATCTGCGGCAGACATTAGCGGGTCAATACCGGGGGTTGTGTGCTGCGGGGGGATAGAGTTTGGTAGGTTGAGTGAGGCGACCAGGACACCATGACCGGCAACAAGATGGTGCTGGGGGCCGAGCTGCTGCGACGAGGAGGAAAGGGCATTAGGGAGCAATTGCTTTGCCATGGCGGATTGCTCATGATGTGTGAGAAGGGAGTTAATGTGAATAAGCTTATCCCACAACTCTTTGCAGGCCGGTTCCTCCGCAAACGAGAGGGCAATTTCGGTGGGGACGGGGTGTGCCGCGGGGGGCGGATGCTCCTGCCAGGTAATGATGGTGTCGTCCTGGCGCTGGTACACGGCGTCCCTCATGGGGCGGACGGGCGAGCACAGGGCGACGCGACCCGAGTCCTTGGCGAAGACCTTGATGACAAAGGCGTTGGTGCGGACGTCGCGCTCGCAGCGCACTTGGCCCATGCAGCGCTCCTCCCAGTTGTCGTGGTCGTTGAGAACGTAGACCTTGACGCAACTGGCGCCGGAGGCTGTGAGTTCGGCCATGCCGCAAGGAGCGAGTGTGTCATGCGCCCGGGGCCGGGGGCGACGGAGGGGGTGCGTGGGGAAAAAAGGGGGGGGG